CTTTGCCATTGGTTCACCCTCCAATGGCCACCGCGGCCAGCGCGCTGTGGCCGGCGCACCGCGCTGATCCGATGGCAGGAGCCAGGTACTTCTCCTGGTCTCCCATGGGCTGCAGGGCCCAAGTACTTGGGCCATCCTCCACTGCACTCCCTGGCCACAGCAGAGAGCTGGCCTGGAAGAGGGGCAACCGGGACAGAATCCGGCGCCCCAACCGGGACTAGAACCCGGTATGCTGGCGCCGCAAGTTGGAGGATTAGCCTAGTGAGCCGCGGCGCCGGCCTTAACTTTTTATTTGTATTAATTGAGAAGGTGATGGATTTTTTTTGTCTTTCACTCTGCTAATGTGCTATATGGCATTGACTGATCTTTGAATGGTAAGTCATCCTTATATTCTAGGTATAAATCCACCTTACTCATTATATACAATCTTTGGGTTGTACTGTTGAATTTGGATAACTAGTAATTTGTTTAGGATTGAGCAATGATATTGGTTTGTGTTTTTCTTTTCCTATGTCTTTGCCTGACTCTGGTATTAAGGTAGTAATAGCCTGAAGTAGTGAATTTTGAAGTTTTCTTTTCAATTCTATAGAAGAATTTGAGAAGAATTCTCCAGTGAAAACATGTAATTCTGTCCTTTTCTTTGTCAAGGGACTTTTTGACTACTGCTTAAATTCTTTTCTTTTAAATATTTATTTATTTATTTGAAAGAGTTATAGAGAAAGAAAGGCAGAGAGACAGGGAGAGAGAGAGTGGTCCTCCATCTGCTGGTTCCTTCCTGGCCAAAGGAAGGAACCATGTGGGTGGTAGGGACCCAAGTACTTGAGCCCTCATTTTCTGCCTCCCAGAGTGTACATTAGCAGGAAGCTGGATAAGAATACTTGAATCAGGAACTCCTGTATGGGATATGAGTATTGCAAGCAGCCACTTAATCACTGTACCAAATGCCTACCCCCTTCCTTGAGGATTTTTGTTCCTTTTTTTGTTAAACTAATTTTTTAAAAAATTATTAATATAAAGAAAACAGATTTCATGTATTTCTTAAGTACAAATCTATTAAAATAACCATACTTCTCTCCTTCCCCCTCTCTTACCCTCAAGCTCCTTCCTTCCTTCTTTTTATTTTTGCAAAAATATAAATTCAATCCAGTCTATAATCACAGGGTTAATGAACTGATATTCAACAGTAAAAAGAAGAAAGACCACAGTTCCACAGGAATATAAACAAGGGCTAAAAACAACAATCAAATCACAAGATGTCTGTTGCATTCCTATAAATTTTTTGTATTCCATATTAACTACCATATATCAGAGAAAAATATGATATTTGTCTTTTTGAGACTGGTTTATTTCACTAATATAATGGTTTACAATTACATGCATTTTGTTACAAAGATGAGATTTTATTCTTTTTATGGCTGAGTAGTATTCTATAGTGTATTTATACCACATTTTCTTTATCCAGTCATCAGTTGATGGACATCTGGGTTGATTCCATATCTTAGCTATTGTGAATTGAGCTGCAATAAACATGGAGGGGGTACAAACAAACTAGTACAAAAATTATGAAAGATGGTATGGAGATTACTCAGAAATCTGAAAATAGTTTTACCATATGACTCAGCCATCTGGTTCTTTTTTTTTTTTTTTTTTTTTTTTTTTGACAGAGTGGACAGTGAGAGAGAGAGACAGAGAGAAAGGTCTTCCTTTGCCGTTGGTTCACCCTCCAATGGCCGCCACGGCCGGTGCGCTGCAGCCAGCACATCGCGCTGATCCGAAGCCAGGAGCCAGGTGCTTCTCCTGGTCTCCCATGCAGGTGCAGGGCCCAAGGATTTGGGCCATCCTCCTCTGCACTCCTGGGCCATAGCAGAGAGCTGGCCTGGAAGAGGGGCAACCGGGACAGAATCCGGCGCCCCGACCGGACTAGAACCTGGTGTGCTGGCACTGCAGGTGGAGGATTAGCCTATTTAGCCAAGCCATCTCATTCTTGAGAATTTACCCAAAGGAAATGAAATCAGCATATAAAATGGTTATTTTTATTTATTTAAGTTTTAAAATTAGATTGTGATTTGTAATATTTTTCTTTGTTGATGTAAGCATTTACCATTGCAAACTTCCCACTTAGTATTAATTTTATTATATCCATAAATTTTGATACATTGTTCTCTCATTTGTCTCCAGATAATTCCTAAACTCTTTTTTATTTCTTCTCTGACCCTTTGGTTGTTTAAATCTGTTGTTTAATTTCCAGCCCCCACCCTTTCCTTCTGCTTTTGTCTGTTTGAAAAGAATATTTGTTTTTCCTTTATTTTGTATTATTTTTTATTTTTTAATTTTTAAACTTACATGAAAGGCAACAGAGTGACACAGAGAAATAGAAAGAGAGGGAATTCCCATTTACTGGTTTACTCTCTAAATCCCTGGAACAACCAGGGCTGGGTCAGGCTCAAACCCAGGATCCTGGAACTCTAACAGGGTCTCCCACATTGGTGGCAAGAACCCAACTATTTGAGTTATTATCTGCTGCCTCCCAGAGATTGCATTACCATGAAGCTAGAATGGAAAGTAGAGAGAAGACTCAAACCCAGGCACTCCAATATAGGATGTGGGTGTTCCAAGCAATGGCTTAGCCACTGTGTCAAACACCTACCCTCTCCTTTACTTTTGAAGGAAATTTTTATCAGTTATAATATTCTGCGTAGGCAGTTTATTTTCTTTCCACATTTTGAATATGTGATTATTATTACACTCCATTGTAGATTGCCAGGTTACTGCTGGGAAATTTGTTCATATTCTTAGTAAGTGTCGCTTGCATGTGATGAATTTCTTCTCTCTTGCTTACTTCATGTTTGGTAACTTTTGACACTTAGATTATAATGTGTCTCTTTGAATTTATGCTAATTGAAGTTATTTGAGATTCTTGAATGTGTGCATCCATTTATCTTCTCAGATTTAGAAAGTTTACAGCCATTGTTCTATCAAATAGAATCTCTGTTTCTCTCTTTCATCTTCTTCAGAGCCTCCCATATTGTATATATTGTTCTGCTTGATTTAGTCTTTTTTTTTAAAGATTTATTTTATTTATTTGAAAGACAGAGTTACAGAGAGAGGTAGAGACACAGAGAGAGGTCTTCCATCCGCTGGTTCACTCCCCAGATGGCCGCAACAGCCGTAGCTGCACCAATCCGAAGGCAGGAGCCCAGAGCTTCTTCCAGGTCTCCCACGTGGGTGCAGGGGCCCAAAGATTTGGGCCATCTTCTACTGTTTTCCCAGGCCACAGCAGAGAGCTGGATCAGAAGAGGAGCAGCCAGGACTAGAACTGGTGCCCATATGGAATGCTGGCACTTCAGGCCATGATTTTAACCTGCTGCACCACAGCACTGGCTCCTTGATTGAGTCTTATAAGTCCTTTAGGCTTTCCTCACCATTTTTCTGCTTGTCTCCTCTGATTTGATAATTTTGGATATTGTATCTTTAAGATGACTCATTCTTCTTTCTAGTCAATTTTACTGTTGAACTCCTCTAGTGAATTTTTCAGTTCAGTTACTGCATTTTTTGGCTCCAGAATTTCTGTTTAGTTATTCATCATTGTTTCTGTTTCTTTGTTAATATCCTAATTTTATTCATATATAGCTTCTTTTTTATTTGTTTAGTTATTTTTCTTCTCTGTTTTAATTTATTGAGTATCCTTATGATAGATATTTGAATTATTTGGTAATTCATATATATCTCTGTACTTTTAAGGTTGATTTCTGAATATTTAATTTGTTTCTTTGATTAGGCTATGTTTCCCAATTTCTTTGCATGTCTTATTGTCTGTCTTTGGTTGGAACTTGGCATTTGGGGAAAAAAGACCACATTTCACAATCTTTACTCTCTGACTTTGTATAGGAGAGATGTTCTCCAATTAGACTACCTTCCAATTCTACAGACTTCTCAAGTTTTTTCTTGGAATTCTTCTTGTTGGGGCTTGTGCATATACTCTAATTGAAGAAGTTTACCTGCTTCTATTCAAGCCCTTGCCTGGGTTTTCCTCTATGGTACTGTAGCCTCTCTGATTCTATAACAAGCTATGAGACTAGAGCACTACCTAGTGTCTGTTTGTGAAACTGCAGCCTTTCTAGTGCTAATCAGGCCCTGGTGATTTTCATTCTCTGTGATCCCTTCTGAAACTGCTCCTTTTCCATGCTTAGATTCAGGCAAGAGTGAAACCATTGCTGTGTAAAGCACCCTCCAAAAGTCAGAATTTGAATGTACATTCCATCTTCTCTTTCTCTTCCCATAGTGAAGCTAGGAGTTGGGAGTTTTCTCTCAATGGTACTGTGCTATGCCAAAAGGAGAGGCTGTGATGAGCAAATTCAAGCAATTTTCATGCTGTCTTTGTTATGCTTCTTTTGGTTGCACATTTCTCTGGGATGAAGGGTTCTCTTAACTGGGTTCTGGATTGTCACAAAGGCAAATGGTTCATTCATTGTTCTTAAGTTGGAGTCTGTGAAGCAAAGAATGTCTGTAGTTTCCCATTCTATATTCTTGATATCAGTTTCTATATGTATTTATTCAATAACTAAAAATCATTTTATATGTAGTAATTCTTAATGATGCTCATGAAAATTTACAATCTATAGGTTAATTTTTATGTATATTTATTATTTAAAATCCTTTCCGGAAATATAAGCCTTAATTTCTACAAGGACAGAATGAAGGTATAATACCTGCTAATTTATCTTTAATGTTCTTTCCTATTACAAGGTTGTGTGAGATTGAAAATTTTGTTATTTAAACTATTTAGAGATCAAAAGAGACAGACTGAATCAGATAATTTTACCTATATAAAATAGTTCCCTTTAGCTTGTGTTTTACTTATAATCTTGATTTAATTTTTGATTTCCCAAAGCAAGCATTATTTTTATAATATCAAAATAAAGTTAAAAAGAAAAAATCCTTAGTTTAACCACACTAGTTTAATATGATTGTGTTTTTATTTCTCTCCTCTTATTTCTCAGGTAATGGTACAACATAACCGTATAGAACTTCTCAATCATCCTGTGTGTAAAGAATATTTACTTATGAAATGGTACGTATTCAATAGTATTTCATTTTTAGTGCTATCCCCATTAAATGTATTAAGTCTGCTAAACAAACATATTTTAATGTTTCAGGTTTTATTATTGTAGTGTTTTACACTTTGAACAAGAAATATGTATCAAAATCAATTTTTGCTATTAATAAATGCTGGCATTGTTTAACTTTGACGCTCAATGAAATATGTGGGGTGTTGGAAGTAATCATTGTATAAGACATGAAGAAAGTATCCTCAGGCTTACAGTTTAGTATTCAATGTGGGGGGCACTGTGTTCTAAGGAAGAACACTCACCTATGAGACAGAACATAAGGGCTAAAATCTCTGCTTTTCCACTAATTGGTGTGACTTTCAGTCAGGATTTGCTCAGAAGTTGATATTCTTTCTCTGAAAATGAAAAAGCAATTCGAATATTTTCTTGATTCTAAAATTCAGTGGATTTAACAAAGATAGTTCTGAATTTTTTTTTCACAAATATCTTAAGTAAATGTTTTTGTTTGAAATGGATTAGTTATGGCTTGCTTATTTTTTGTAGGTGTGCTTATGGATTTAGAGCCCATATGATGAACCTAGGATCTTACTGCCTTGGTCTCATACCCATGTCCTTGCTTGTTGTCAATATAAAGCCAGGAATGGCTTTCAATTCAACTGGGATCATCAATGCAACTAGTGATCATTCAGAAATATTAGACACCACGGTATTTTCAAACTTCACCTTTTTAAAATGAATTATATAAAAATTATTTTTTCTTAGGAATAAATAAATAAAGCTGAAATATCAAGATAATAAGTCTGAAATATCCAGATTGGGATAATAATATATAGCCTATAGAATCTGTGTATTATACCAATTTCTCCTAAAATATTTTATGGGCTAAAAGGGACTATAAATGAATAGGTCCATACATGAGTTTATAAACTAAATTAGGAGCAAACTGATTAAATGAGATCCTAACTTAAATGTTGAAGTATAACACTTTTAAAGTAGGCCTATAAAAAAGCAGATTTTTTGTTTCTATGTATTTTGGGGAGCATGGAATGGGGAGAGATGGTTAGTGGGCGTGGAGTATCTGTGTGGAATGATGAATAAATTGTGGAATTAGGTGCTGGCTGCATAACATTGTGAATGTATTAAATGTCACTGAATTGTACATTTTTCAGTGTAAATGCCATATAAAATATGTAAGTTTTAACATGGATTTTACTATAATTAAAAACGTTTATAGGCGTATGGATCCATAGTCATTTAGAATTCAATTGGAAAATTTTGAGCCTCTCTTAATAAGGACATAAGGGAATAAATATGCATTATTTATACTGTTACGTGAATATTAGCTGTTTAATTTTAATTTAATTTAATTTTCTGTTTAATTCAAGTGTAGACCATGCATAAAAAGAAGCAAAAAGAAAAAAACATTTAATAGCAGAAATTATGAAGAAATTAAAGTGCTGTTTTATTTTGTTTTTCAGAACTCATATCCAATAAAAGTTTGTATGATTTTAGTTTTTTTAACAAGTATATTTGGATATTGCAAAGAAGTGGCTCAGATTTTCCAACAGGTACATAATATATTTTACATCTCTAAAATTTTAAATATCTTAACATGCAGAACATACACTGATAAACTATTACTTGAAATAGTATTATGTTATAGTAAGCTCACATAGCTTGACTAAGGTACAAATCGAAAACAGGAAGCAGAAACTTTTCAAAATGTAGAAATCACATGCTTTTAATAATGTCACTGCATATTTGATGTACCTGCAAAAAGGATGTTCCACGTTCACTGTCTCACCTGGGTCTGGCTGCCTACAAGTGATTTTTATCAATGATTTTTCTGTGTTTTATATCAGTTTTGATATTTTGACAGCATAATAGGTTTGGGATTTGATAATTTTAAGTGTAAATGCTTATAAAGAACTTAGCTCCAACTTAACATTTCAAATGGATCTGTTTTTTAGGTCTTTTATTAATATTAATTCTTTTCTTTATTGGATAAAATTCCGAGTTCTAACAAAATTTGGAAACATTTTTTAATATGATTTAACTTTATATTTTATTTTTTAATGTGAGCTAATCAAATTCAGAGCAAACCCAAGAGTTATATAAACTCTCTGCAGGTCCTTGCTTTGGTTGGCAAGTGACATGGATCTTTTATTTCTCAGTATGAAGGTTTAGTCTCTTATTCATGTTTTCATATATATTTTATATGCATTATTTTATAAGACATATCTTCTTATACCTCATCTGCTTTGTAAATTATATTTACATTATGTGTGCACATGGATATTTGTATTAAAGAATGTTAATGGTAAGAATAATGATTTGTATTTGTTTAATATTATATATTACAAATATACTCATATATAATTTGTATATATAATTGTCACAATTCTGAGGGTTTGACTGCATTGTTCCATTTTTACCATAAATTATTCAGAAATATAACTTAACCTACATGGCCATTATTTTCTTTTTCCTAAAATGAAAATTACTGATTAGAGTTTAAATTAAGCTACAAAGTTAAATGAATTCTCTCTCAGATTTGATTGCTACAATTTCTTATTAATATTTAAATTGCCCAACCTGTGATAACTTAATATTGAAAACATGAAATCCTCAATATCCTAAGTTAGTATCCAAATTTAATAACTATGGGAATTCTAACATCCAAAACATGAAATCTTTAAGAATACAATTGTGATTTGTTCTCATTTCCTGATTACGCCTTGGTACAAGTTTCAAACCACTTTAGGAACACCTTTAGTTAAAAGGTATCCTGAGAAGCCATATACATGTCTTTATATAGGTCTCTGAAATATTTGTATAGTTCTCAGGAATTATTAAAACAGATTGCAGTTTTCTAGGAATGTCTTTAAGATGGAATGGACACCCCAGTGAAATCCCAGAAGTTTGTAGGATTTTTGTAGGGATTAGAGCCCCATAGCATCAATTTAAAAGATGCCCCTTAGCCATTTGCAACACTAATCCATACTCCAAGGACACTGAAGTCAATCCAGGACAGCAGAGGGTAGCTCCATGGCCCTAAATTTGTCTCCAGTTGGCCATACGGACTAAAAATGTTGTCACTGAAGATACGCATACACACACACCACACACACACACACATACCCATAGGATGTCAGATCTCTACATGTGGTAATTGTTTGTTCTTTTCAATCCCAGAAAAAGAATTATTTTATGGATTATGGTAACTTGGTTGAATGGATTATTTACACAACCAGCATAGTTTTTGTGCTGCCCTTGTTTGTTAGCATACCAGCTTATATGCAGTGGCAATGTGGAGCAATTGCAATCTTCTTCTATTGGATGAACTTTTTATTGTATCTTCAAAGGTAAAACCAGCTTGAATTATTTCTATATCATTTTAAGCATTTAAAAACTTTTATTTATATAAGGGGAGCAAATTTCATGTATTTCATGCACATAGTTTGAAGAGCATAATGATACTTCCCACCTCACTTTCCCTCCATGCCTCTTTCCAATCCTGACTCCTCCGTCATTATTTTTCTTTAATTTTTACAAGGACATATTTTCAATTTACTTTATAATCACAAGCTTAACCCTCCACTAAATAAAGAATTCAACTAGTAGAAAAATCACTGTCCCCTAAGTGTATAGCCAAGAGCTATAAAAAAATAAGCAACAATCAAGTCTCAAAATGTCAATTTTGCTTATATACATTGCTTTTTTGTATTCTGTATATTAGTTACCTCAAATCAGGGAAAGCAGATGATACTTGTCTTTTTAAGACTGGCTTATTTCACTAAGCGCAATGCCTTTAAGCATATTTAATACTAAAAACTATTAGAAGTAACAGATTTATAACTGATTTATTCCTTTTCCAATTGTTTTAATGTGAAAAATTATATATCCTCCATTAAGGAAGATGGTGGGTTCTGAAATTCAGAGTGTAGACCAGAAATTCTTAGCCTTAGTACTATTGACATTTTCTGCCAAGTAATTCCTTTATTTGGTGGGGTGGGGAGTAGGGTCTGCCTTAGGTATTAGAAATGTTTAACAGCATCCCTGTCTTCTACCTGCCAGATACCAGTTACATATATCTCATATAACTTGTGACAACCAAAAGTGTAGTTAGAGAATGCCAGTGTCACCTAATTGCCAAATCTGCCCAGTTCAAGGACCACTAGTCTAGATAAATCTAGATTAAATGTAGGGAGTAAATGGGGAAAAAAAGTATTAGCTATTCTTATTTTACCTCTACTATATGGTAAATATTTATTTTGAGTTAAAACACTCACAATGGAATCATAGGTTGCATGAGAAATAAAGCTAGTAGAAGAGAAAGAATAGACACAAAGAATCTAATTATCATGCAATAGGTACCTCTAGGTTTGTGAGCACTTTTAATCCACTTCTACCTGAAATACCTCACTCCAATCCTAATTCCTCTAATTCTTTTATTAAGCATTTTATAGCATGTTCTTTGATATGGGGAAACTATGATTTTTTCTTTCTTACTTTGATGGAAATAATGTCCATTGGTCAAATGGTAAATTGGCTGGACAGACTGCAATATAATAATGGTAAGGGACTTTAACACCTCTTTCATAAATGGACAGATTGTTCAGACAGAAACCAGCCAAATAAGAACTCTTTGAATTGCACCCTATTTCTATTGAACCTAACAGACATATACAGAACATTTCACTCAACAGCTGCCAAATACACATTCTTCTTGATAGCACACAGAACATCCTCCAGGATAGATCACAAAACGAATCTCAACAAATTTTTAAAAAAAGAGAATTCATAATGAGTATCTTTTCTGACATGATGCCAAAACTAGAAATTACTAACAAGTAAATCTTTGGTAAGTATATGGAAATTAAGCAACCTTCTCCTGAAAACCAATAGATCAAGAATGAAACTTAATAATTTCTTGAAATAAGTAAAAATGGAAGTAGAACATACAAAGACCTTTCAGATAGAATAAAAACTGTATTAAAAGGGAAGGTCATAGCAATCAATGCTTACATCAATATAGCAGGAAGATCTCAGATAAAGACTTTATGGAATTAGAAAAACTGGAACAAATCAAAACCAAAATAAAGGGCTGGCGCCGCGGCTCACTTGACTAATCCTCTGCCTGTGGCGCTGGTACCCTGGGTTCTAGTCCCAGTTGCTCCTCTTCCAGTCCAGCTCTCTTCTGTGGCCCAGGAAGGCAGTGGAGGATGGCCAAGTGCTTGGGCCCTGCACTCGCATGGGAGACCAGGAGGAAGCACCTGGCTCCTGGCTTCGGATTGGTGCAGTGCTCTGGCCGTAGCGGCCATTTTGGGGGTGAATCAACGGAAGGAAGACCTTTCTCTCTTTCTCTCTCTCTCTCTCACTGTCTAAGTCTGCCTGTCAAAAAAATAATAAAGAAAAGGAAAGAAAAATAAAAAATAAATAAAATCAAGAGATGGATATTTGAAAAGATAAAGAATTGACAAACCCTTAGCTAAACTTGGTATGAAAAAAAGTTTCAAATAAACAAAATAAGAGATGAAAAGGGAGACATTATGTCTGATGCCACAGAAATACAAAGGATTATTAGAGGTTATTATGAACAATTATACAGCAACAAATTGGATAACCTAGAAAAAATGGAAAAATTTCTGTACACATATAACTTATCAAATTGAATTGTAGGCCGGCGCCGCGGCTCAATAGGCTAATCCTCCACCTTGCGGCACCGGCACACCGGGTTCTAGTCCCTGTCGGGGCACCGGATTCTGTCCTGGTTGCCCCTCTTCCAGGCCAGCTCTCTGCTGTGGCCAGGGAGTGCAGTGGAGGATGGCCCAAGTACTTGGGCCCTGAACCCTATGGGAGACCAGGAGAAGCACCTGGCTCCTGCCATTGGATCAGTGTGGTGCGCCGGCCGCAGTGCGCTGGCCGCGGTGGCCTTTGGAGGGTGAACCAACGGCAAAGGAAGACCTTTCTCTCTGTCTCTCTCTCTCTCACTGTCCACTCTGCCTGTCAAAAAAAAAAAAAAAAAGATTGAATTGTAAAGAAATATAATATCCACACAGGCCAATAATAAGTAATGAGATTGAATCAATAATAAAAATTCTCCCATTAAAGAGAAGTCTAGGACAAGACAGTTTTACTGCTGAATTCTACCAAGTATTTAAATATACTTTTTAATTTATTCCAAAAACTAAAAAGAGGAGTTTGGATAATAGATATGAAATCAGAGTTACAAGGATAGAAGACATTCGTAGTATTACACAGCATAGTAGAGTAACTATAGTTCATAATAACCTATTATATATTTTGTGAGCAAACATAAGAAAGGAGTTCCTAGGCTACAACCATAACTTCAAAGAAAGGAAAGTATGGTTAAACTTATTGGATCAATATACATTGAGTTGAATGTATACATGTGTCCCAATATAGCCCATAAATATATACAGATATTGATGATTTTTTTCAAAAAGGAATTATTTCAAACTCATCTTTTGAGGCTCACATTACCCTGAGACTGAAACCAGACAAGGTTGGCGTGGCCCAGCTCTGTTGTGGGCATTTGGGAAGTGAACTTGTGCATAGGAGATTTTTGTCTCTCTGTCTCTCTCTCTGCCTTTCAAATCAGTAAAATAAAAAAGAAATTTTAAAGAAATAGGCAGTTAGTTTAAACAGATATTTCTCAAAGTGGACTTACAAATGGCCAACAGGTTCATGAAAAAATGCTTAATGTCATTAATCATCAGGGAAATGCAAATAAAAACCACAATGAGAAACATCAGTTAGATTGGCTATTATCAATAAGACAAAAGTTAACAAATGCTGACAAGAATGTGGAGAACAGGCATTCTAATTCACATTTGGTGATGGTATAAATTAGTATAGCCATGTGGAAAACAGTATGGCAATTCCTAAAAAACTAAAAATAGAACTACCATGCAATCCAACAATCATACTGCTAAGTATGTATCTTAGGTAACTGAAATGAAATCACTATTGAAGAGACATCTGCCTTTTTTGGGTGGCACAACAGTCAAGAAAGGGAAACAGCCTAAGTCTTCCTCAGCTGATGAACAGATAAAGAAAATGTGGTACATATACCCAATGGAATGATATTCAGCCACAAAAAGGATGAATTCTTACCATTTGCAGCAACATGGATGGGACTAGAGATCATTATGTTGAGTGAAATAAGCCAAGCAGAGAAAGCCAAGTACTGCATAATTTTCTCTCATATGTGAAATCTCAGATACTTGATTCCATAGAAGAGTAGAATGGTTGTTACCAGAGGCTTGGGAAACAGAAAGGGCAGGATGGGCAAAGGTTGGCTTAAGGGTCCCAAGTTAGATAAGAGTAAGAAGTTTTAAAGTTCTACTGCAAAGTAAGGTGACCATACACAATAATAATGTACTTTATATTTCACTTAAAAAAAACTAGAAGGCAGGATGTTTAATGTTTTCACTTGAAATAAATGTTAAATGTTTGAGGAGATATGTTTACCCTGATTGGTCATCATGTAGTATATATATGTATATGTATAGAAATATCAAATAGTAACCATAGATATGTAACATTTTTATATGTCAGTTAAAATGAAATTTAAAAATTAAAGGTAAAGACTAATATGAAGGAAAAAAGTAAATAGAAACATCAAATAGTAACCATAGATATATACAATTTTTATGTCAGTTAAAATGAAATTTAAAAATTAAAGGTAAAGACTAATATGAAGGAAAAAAGTAAATAGAAACATCAAATAGTAACCATAGATATATACAATTTTTATGTCAGTTAAAATGAAATTAAAAAATAAAAGGTAAAGACTAAAGAAAGAATAAAGAAATTTGATGCACAGCTTGAAAATAAAACCTGACTTAATGAATACTTTTTCAAAATAATTGGCCTTATCATCTCATTTATAAATCCTGTTACCTGATTTAATGCATGATAAATATTGTCACTGAATTAAATATATTTTGACCATAAAAGCAAGTAACTATTTTACTGATTTTATTTTTCTAGATTTGAATATTGTGGAATTTTTATTGTTATGTTAGAGGTAATTCTGAAAACTTTATTAAGGTCTACGGTAGTAGTTGTCTTCCTCCTGTTGGCCTTTGGACTCAGTTTTTACGTCCTCCTGAGTGCACAGGTGAGGCAGTTGTGCTAGTAATTGATTTTGTCACAGTTAATATTGTAAATATATATATTTATATTTAAATTTCAATAGCCTAGGAGATTAATAGTAGCATAATAATATTTGAATAATTGAGTTTTTTTTTCATTTGGTATATCTTATAAATGAATTTTATTGTAGAAAAAAAAGTACTGTCTTACTAAATGACTTTTTCCATTATGTAGAGTTTGTACACTAGTGTACTTCAGAAAGTGTGGAAAATGGAATTTAAAGTATGAGTTTATTTTGATGCAAAAAATCAGAAGTGCAAGGGCAGGCATTGTGGCACAATGGGTTAAGTCACCACTTGGGATGCCCACGTTCCATATCAGAGTGCCTGGGTTTCAGTCCTGGCTTCTCCTTTTTTGATCCAGCTTCCTGGCAGTGTGCACACTGGAAAACAGCAGATGATGGCTCAAATACTTGGGTTCCTGCCACCTATGTGGGAGACCTGGGTGGAGTTCTGGGCTCCTGGCTTTGGCCTGGCCCAGTGTTGGCCATTGCAGGCATTTAGGGAGTGAGCCAGCCGGTGAGAGAGCTCTTTCTCTCTCACTCTGTCTTTCAGATAAAAACATAAACACTTTAAAAATTCAAAAAACTTTGGTGTATGTAGAAACTTTTCTTATAAAATACATAAAATACATATTGTGAAAAAATATGGCATGGATTTCAGAAGGTTTTTGCATAAAAATTAATTAAAATAAATTCAATTCCATTTTTTCAGAAACATTTTGAAATACTCTCATATAATGCCAAATGATTTTTTTTTTTTGACAGGCAGAGTGGATAGTGAGAGAGAGAGAGAGTAAAAGGTCTTCCTTTTTCCGTTGGTTCACCCCCCAATGGCCGCTGCGGCCGGCGCGCTGTGGCAGCCGCACTGGTGCTGATCTGAAGCCGGGAGCCAGGTGCTTCTCCTGGTCTCCCATGTGGGTGCAGAGCCCAAGGACTTGGGCCACCCTCCACTGCACTCCTGGGCCACAGCAGGGAGCTGGCCTGGAAGAGGAGCAACCGAGACAGAATCCGGCGCCCGACTGGGACTAGAACCCGGTGTGCCGGTGCCACAGGCGGAGGATTAGTCTAGTGAGCCACGGCGCCAGCCCTGAATGATTTGTTATATACACAGAATAGACTTTTTTGATGACTTTGCCACATTACTGCATTTCAGCAGCTATATGCCTACAACTTTTTAAATAAATTCTTAGAGCCAGCATTGTGGCATAGTATGTGAAGCCACTGCCTGCGGTGCCAGCATCCAATATGAGCACTGGTTCGTGTTCCAGCTGCTCTACTTTCAATCCAGCTCCCTGTTAATGGCCTTGGAAAAGTACCAGAACATGGTACAAGTGTTTAGGCTCCTGCCAGCCATGTGGGAGACCTGGAAAAGGCTTTTGGCTCCTGGCTTTGGCTTGGCCCAGCCATGGATGTTGTGGCCATCTGTGGAGTGAACCAGCAGCTGGAGGATTTCTCTGTCTATCATTCTCTCTGTAACTCTGACTTTTAAATAAATAAATCTTTTAAAAATGAAACCTTAATATAATTTTTAAAGTTTGCTCTCCAGGAAACATCTTACAATGATACACATTTTGCATTTCATCTTCACTTTACCATCTTTTCTCAGGATGCCTTCAGCTCGCCGTTGCTTTCTATAATCCAGACCTTCAGCATGACATTAGGAGATATCAATTATCGAGATGCCTTCCTAGAACCATATTTGAGAGATGAATTGGCATATCCAGTTCTGTCCTTTGCACAACTTATTGCCTTCACTATGTTAGTCCCAATTGTCCTCATGAATTTACTTGTAAGTAATTATAATTGCATTTTATATTTGTTCATTTGAGACATTTAATATTGATAATTATTCTTTATGTCATGAATCTCTCTCCATTGTGGGGGCATGGAGAAGGAGCTACTACTAATCCATTCATTTAACATTTTTTAAATGACTGGAGTATAACAAATACATCAAAAGGCTCAGGTGATACAAAGATGGACTTACTCGGCAAACACTAAGGAAGTACTAGATGCTAAATATCAGTTCTGGGAAACAGTGGTAACAGACCAAACCAATAGTCAGTCCTTATGTGGTTACCAACTAGGAGTCCAGCTAATAAACATACATACAGCATAATGATTTCATGGGGGTGATAAATGCACTGATGATCAAAGAATCTGAGTGAGGCAATAAAGATGAAGGTGTGTTATTATTATTTTGCTTTGGGGTTGGGAAGGGCATCAGAAGTGATTTGGAGAGCTCTATGAGGTATCATCTCTCCCCTCAATTTCTCATTAACCAAGGATTTGAGTGAGGAGGAGCATGTCATACAGAGGGCATGTAGCACTCAGATACCACCTTTAACACAGTCAGCAGACATGACAGTGCCTTTCCATGGGGGATTCTTTCAAGAATCTGTTAGAGTCAGAAGCATCTTGGCTGATACCAGCAGAAGTACATCCCAGCTCCAGGTGCACTGAGAGCCATTAGTAGCATATTGGGCCTTGTGCATACATGCACACATTCAACATACTTATTCTGAGTCTGACTCCATACCAGACTGTGTTATGAAGTGCTCCTGGAAAGAAAAAAAATAACACAGATGCCTATTGGTTACAATGCCAGTGTTTTATTTTGATGACCTGAAAAATTAAGGATGGTACTAGGAATAATAGAGAATGACATAAAGCCCACATTCATCTCTTGTAATTGTTTATGTTTTGGAAGTTATTTATCCAGAAGAGAAATTTGATTTAGCAGTAACACAGATTAGCACTATGTTGAAAACTGATGATCTCTACACCCAGCACCCATGGACCATCTCTACCCACATGTTCTGGAAGAAAATCAAACCCAATATAGCCAAGACTGATGTTATCTTCCATTCAAAACCTACTACTTCCTTTCAGTAGCATCTCATAGTTACCTTATTCAGATAATTCAGAGATATTCTAAATTCATCCTCTTTTTTTTCTTTATGTATTTCCATAAATGTCTACCTCTTCCATCTATTTACAGTTGGCTTGTGCCCTCATGGTTTCTCTTCTGAATTGTTTTGTACTAAAAAAAGATTTCCAGATTAATTTTATGTCATAAATTCTTACGATAACACTTAAGATTACTGAATCCAGCAATGTGGCTATCGTAGTTCTAGAGGTAAACAGACTTTGCAGATTTTGTAAGGTGTACTAGCAAAGCATTATGCAGCCACTACTAGTAGATCTCATGTAAACTCCCTACCACTCACTAGAGACTTTGCTATGGCTTGGATTTTTGCATTCCTTTAAAATTTACCAATTAAAGCCCAATCACCAAGGGATGGTATTAGAAAATGAGGCCTTGCAGTAGGTGGTGAGTGGTGCCAGTACTGGTCAGCTTCTTATTACTATAATGAAATACCTGAGGCAGCCCAACTTTATAAAGGAAAGCAGTTTACTTTAGCTCACAGTTTTGGAGGTTCAGAGTACAAATAGCCTACCACAGGCTTTGACTCTAAGAGTCCATGTGATGGCCAAGCACATACTGAAGAAGGATCACATGGCAAACTGGGAGGCAGAGAGACTGAGTAACTAGCCTCTTGTGAGAACTACCTTCTGATGGCATGCCTTCAGTGGTCTAAGGACTTCCCAGTAGATCCTACTTCCTACAGTTTCTACCACTCCACATGGTGTCACTCTGAGGACCAAGTCTTTTAACATATGGGCCTTTAGGAAACATTCAGCATCCAAAATAACATTCAACCATAGCATTCTGCTCCTAGCCCTCAAAGGTTCATTCCATCTTACAACATAAAATGCATTAGTTGTATTCTCCAGGAATCCCTAAGCCTTAATGTTTTAGTATTGCTCAAGACTCTAAGTACAAAGTCTCATTAGAGACTCAGGGCAACCTTCCTTAGCTGTGAGCTCCTGTAAGAGGAAAACAAAAACAAAAAGCAAGATACCTGCTTCTAAGATACCATGGTGGAACAGGCACAAGGTTAACATTCCAATTCCAAAGCAGAGAGATAGGGAAAATAAAGGAAGATGAACCTTGAAAAAATAAGACCAAAGCCCAGCAGGGCAAACATTAGATCCTAAAGCTCTATGTTGGACATCTTGGGCACAAAGTAGTAGGGGATGAGTTTCTAAGGACTTGGGTAACCCCAATCCTAGGCTTTGTTAGTTGCAGCTAACATGGGCTTCACAAAAACACCTGCAGCTCTCAAAGCCTGGTGTGACATGTTGCTGGTCACTCTTCCTTCCTGTGGTCTCTTTTACAGCACCACTCCCACAATTCCATGCAGCATTGCCCCATTAGGAGCTTCATGCAGTGCACAACTCTGCCTCACTTCCCAGACTTTCCTTTGATTCTTGGTAGAAATCTCCACAACCCCATAACTCTTGCATTCTGTATACCTGCAACACCAGCATCATGTCAACAGCACCAAGGTCTGCTGGCATCCCAAGCCATACCTGGACTTTCTTGAACCATAGCTGTAACAATGGAGTGCTTTTATGCAGCGAAATGAATCCCAAGGTGGTCTTGAACAAGCCTGGAGAGAGTACTCTTCTGAGCCTCAGGGCCTATTATGGGAGGGGCAGCCTTGAAGATTTCTGAGATACCCTTGAGGTCTTTTTCCCCATTGTCTTGCTGAATATCTAATGCACTCTGATGTCCTGAATATGCTTTTTCATCACCCTTTTTCCACCCAGCTATGAATTTTCTTTTTTTTTTTTTTTTTTTTGACAGGCAGAGTGGATAGTCAGAGAGAGACAGAGAGAAAGGTGCTCCTTTTGCCATTGGTTCACCCTCCAGTGGCCGCAACGGCTGGCGCGCTGCGGCCAGCACGCCGCGCTGATCCGAAGGCAGGAGCCAGGTGCTTCTCCTGGTCTCCCATGGGGTGCAGGGCCCAAGCACTTGGGCCATCCTCCACTGACTTCCTGGGCCACAGCAGAGAGCTGGCCTGGAAGAGGGGCAACCGGGAAAGAATTCAGCGCCCCGACCGGGACTAGAACCCGGTGTGCCAGCGCCACTAGGTGGAGGATTAGCCTATTGAGCCGCGGCGCCAGCCCAGCTAGAATTTTCCAAATCTCCCTATTCCTTTTGGCTGTTAATTCTCACTGTAAAACTGAATAGAAGCAGGCAGTAACACCATGCCACAGCCTAAATGCTTTTGCAGCCTGGAAGTCTCCCAGAAAATAATCTAGTCTATCTTTCTTAATTTCAGCCTCCTACAAAATCTGGAGGCAGAGACACTGTATAGAATAAACAGGTTCTTTTTTGCCATGATGGAACAAAGGTGGCCTTTAGTCAGTTGCTTGTAGAATTCTTATTCCCACTGAAACTTCACCAGCATGGCCTTTATTATTCACATTTGTATCAGCATTCTGGTCTTCTGAGCTCTCAGCACAATCTCCCCAAACACTCCACCTACAACATCCTAGGCTTTTGTAAACTTGCTCCTCCAAACTATGCCAAATTCTTTCCATAAGCCAACTCCAAAGGCATTTCAACATCTTCAGGTACAGTTATAGTAATAACCTCACTCCTCAGTACCAATTTTCTGTATTAGTCAACTTTTCATTTCTATAATGAAATACCTAAGGTAGTCCAACCTGATAAAGAAAAGAAGTTTACTTTGTCTCATGGTTTTGGAAGTTCTGAATCTAAACTGCATGGTGCAGACTTTGGCTTTGGTGAGGGGTCCACAACAGATAGCACAGCATGAACAGAAGGACTACAGGGTAAAATATAGAGATCAGGCCCCACATCAGATTTTGATATGAATCCTCTCATGAGAACTGCCTTTCAAAGGCATGTATCCAGTAAGCTAAAGACCTCCCACTAGGCCCAATACACCGCCTTAACATTTCCACCACCTCTCTGTGGTGCCACCCTAGGGATCACACCTTTAGCACATGGGATTTTGGGAACGATCAGTATCTAAACTGATATCCAAGGCATGGCAATGCCTGACTGTACAAAAGAGGTGTGAGGGTGCTTGTTAGCCCCTTTTTGCCCTCTACCATGTGAGAACACATAAAAGGCATCATATATGAGGAATAGGACTTCACCAGACACCAGATCTGCTTTCTGTGACTTCAGATTTACCAGTCTCCAGAACTCTGAACAATACTTTTATGGTGTTTATAAATTACCTATGATATGGTATTTTGTTATATTAGTATCCTGAATGTACTGACATTTTTAGTTGGGCTATTAAAGTATAATGATTAGATTTGTATCATATTTTAGATAGGTTTGGCAGTTGGTGACATTGCTGAGGTTCAAAAACATGCATCATTGAAGAGGATTGCTATGCAGGTGAGTATTTATTTAAAATCTATTGAAATTACACTACTTAATTTTTTGCATGTAAGAATGAGTAAATGTTATGAGAATACAATTATTTAATATAGATAATTTCTCAATACTGAGGAGTAACATCCTATGTCTCTTTGCCTGATCTCTGGTATGCCTGTTGCAAAGCATCAAAAATGATGAAAAAATATCCCAGAACAAACCCAGCAAAGACATTGAGAATTGGCAGAGGCTCTTTAAAATATCAACATGTGGTCAACTGGGTAGTTAGCTGGTTGCTGGACCAAGAATATCACTGGATTGAGGCATTCTGTCTTGCCATAGCCTGGCTGTTCAAAGGAGCTCCTGACATTTGGAGTATGTGATTAAAATCCCCACAGCTTCTTTAATACTGAAATTTTAACTGAATCTATGAAGTTTTATCCTTCTGTGACATACCTCTCATTTTCTTAGACAGTTTAATATAAAATTTGTCAAAGGTTCCTGGATATATCCTTGGCTACTAACTCTTGTTAAGCAATTTCCTGTCCTATAACACAAACTTATGCCTATACTGCTAATTGTGTTGTCTTTAAATTTCAAATTCAAATGGTAATATTTGATGATTCAGGAATATTTGATGGCTATTTGAATATATGCTTTCTTTTAAAAAAAACCTTTTATTTAGTAAATATAAATTTCCAAAGTACAGTTTATGGATTACAATGGCTTTTCCCCCCCATAACTTCCCTCCCACCTGCACCCCTCCCATCTCCCGCTCCCTCTCCCATTCCATTCACATCAAGATTCATTTTCAATTATCTTTATATACAGAAGATCGATTTAGTATATATTAAGTAAAGATTTCATCATTTTGCACCCACACAGAAGATAAAGTGTAAAATACTGTTTCAGTACTAGTTATAGCATTAATTCACATACTATTGATTGAACTCTGTAATTAACACACAATTATTCTTAGGTGCTGAAATTTAACTGAAAAGTGATCCCTGTTAAATATAAGAGTGGGAATAAGAGAGGGAGGAGATGTACAATTTGGGACATGCTCAATCAAACTTGCTCCAAATGCTGGAGTTAGAAATGTGCCAGGGGATTCCAATACAATCCCATCAAGGTGGCATGTACTAATGCCATCTCACTAGTCCAAGTGATCAATTTCAGTTCACAATTGATCATACTGATAGGTCTAAGAGTCAAAGGGATCACATAAACAAGACTAGTGTCTGCGAATACTAACTGATAGCATAAAAAAGGGAGAGAATGATCCAACATGGGAAGTGGGCTACACAGCAGACTCATAGAATGGCAGATGTCCTAAATAGCACTCTGGCCTCAGAATCAGCCCTTAAGGCATTCGGATCTGGCTGAAGAGCCCATGAGAGTATTTTAGGCATGGAAAGCCAAGACACTCTGGAAAAAGAAAAAAAAAAGCCTAATTGAAAGATCTCTGTGAGTGAGATCCCAGTGGAAAGAACAGGCTATCAAAGAAGGAGGTACCTTTTTCTGAAGGGAGGAGACAACTTCCACTTTGACTATGACCTTGTCTAAATAAGATCGAAGTTGGCGAACTCAAAAGGCTTCCATAGGCTTGGCAACTCATGACTAGAGCCCAGGGAGATTACTGATGCCATAAACAAGAGTGTCAAATTGTTAAGTCAACAACAGAAGTCACTGTGTACTTATTCTCATGTAGGATTTCTGTCCTTAATGTGTTGTCCAATGTGAATATATGCTTTCAGAAATAGATTAGTTCTATAAGGATACTTTTCTCTCCACTCTTTTCTCTACTTTTATTATTTGTGTTTCTTCTCTGATATTTATTCAGCTTTACATTAGCAATTATTTTTCAAAAAACAATGTTATGGTGCAAGTTATATGCAAAATTCAATACAATATAGTATGAGAACCCAGAAAAAACATAAAGGGATGTGATCCTCCCTGTTATTAAATAAAATAGATCCATTTACTATAACTATTGAACATTCAGAGAATGAAATATCAAACTTCAACGTAGACCATTCTTAAACTATATATTCTGTGACTTAACTCTGTGTTATCTAGAGAGCCTGGAAGACTTAGAGAACAAAAACACAGAAATTAAATGGTGATCTGGTACAGAAAATAAATGCAAAAAATAATTAAGTGAATGCTTTCACGGATGAAGTAGAATGAGTCAGTGTGACAGATGAAGGGTTTAAAAGGACAGTAAGACTCTTCCAGAAAGAAGGAATGATCTAGCGGGAAGAAAGGGCTAAGACAGAGCCGGAGGGGTGGCTGAGGCGCTGTCAGGAGGCCTCCCTGCCATGAAGGATGGAGCATACTAGAGGGATGCTGTAGTATTAGAGGGCTTTCTTCAAAAACAACAATGAAAAATTTAGCTTTGAAAGAAAGGACAGTCAGTGATGAAGCGCTTCCGATTATTTATTTGGTGAGTGGAGAGTTACTATAGATTTAAAACATGAAAATGGTGTTTAAGGTATCTGCTGTTATCCTGGTTTTGTGGGGGAAAGACTGGAGAAAGGAAGATACTAAGTTATTGCTACAACAAGGGTGTAGCTTAGGACTCCAGCTAGGTGGATATGCAGAGTGGACTTATAAACCTCTTGATGGGCATGTCAGCAGTGCCTCATAACTGTCTTAATAACACTCTAAAATACCAGGGAAAAGAAATAGAATAAAATAAGCAACAGTAACAATGTTGGGAAAGGCCACTAATTACAGTGTCTAGAGTTGAGTTGAAAAACATGATCCTATATTGTGTTCCTAAAACCAAACAGTACAAACCTAGTACTTTATATTTCCATGTTATCTGTTCTTATTTGGGATCAAGAACAATGTTGGGGCCAGTGTTGTGGAATAAAGGATTAAGCCACCACCTGCAATGCTGGCATCCCATATCGGTGCCAGCTTGAGTCCCAGCTGCTTCACTTCTGATCCAGCTCCCTATGAATGCCCCTAGGAAAGCAGTGGAAGATGACCTAAATGCTTGGGCCCTTGCCACTCATGTGGAAGACCTGGATGAAGCTTCTGGATTCACCCTGGCCCAACATTTGTTGCCTCCCAGGGTCTGCATTAGGGGGAATGCTGCTGGTGCATCAAGGACAGGAGTTTGCTTATTTGAGGGGTTGGGAGTCATCTGTTTTTTTTTTTTTATTTTTATTTTTTTTAACCTTGGAATCTGTACTTCGTCATATACTTCCAGAAGCTGTAGATATTCCACAATTTATATCCCTGTCACAGATTAGGAAGGGAAATCCACAGAGCACATCTTACCCTTCATGGAAACAGCACCAGCTGGGAAAGGTAAAGATGCTGCCTTTCCCAGTGTCTCATCAGACAGGCATTGAACTCAGGGTTTTTCCTGCCAACCTCCCTCAGCAATCTGGAAGCTCCTAGGTAGACAATGAACAGCATTAAGGTGCACCATGCCCTTTATCTGTTAGCAAACATTGGGCTTGAATGAACCTTTTTCAATCAAGCTTGAGTAAATGAGTAATAGCTTGTGACCGCTGATAAACATGTATGGAGAAGGGAAGGGAAAGACTCAAGGGAAAAAAGGAATCTGAAAATTATTACAGAAAAGCAAAGAAAACATGAAGCTGTTATAGTTAATAAAATACAATAACACAAAGCTTTTTTTTTGAAACTGGAACTAATATACAGTATGTTAAGCAGTGGTGAGTGCTATAAAAACAGAATGGAAGCCAGACAGAGAGTGTGTCATATGGGGGTCAGTGAGGTACAGTTCTAAGCAATGTGGTCAGGGAAGCTCTTACCTTCTAACCATTTATGACTATAAATCATTTATATGCCCATATACTGAAAAGTATATACACGGTTCTTAGATTAGAGCTTCTTCCACATGCTCCATCTTGTCATGCAGGCAGTTGGCCACCCACCTCTGCAGATTTATTTTCTCTAAATAAATTCGGCCTGGCTCTAAAAAAGAAAAGAAAAGAAAAGAAAAGAAAAGAAAAGAAAAGAAAAGAAAAGAAAAGAAAAGAAAAGAAAAGAAAAGCATATATACAGTTCTTAGATTAGAAAGCAAATCTTACTATTATTACTTACCATATGGAAAAGAACACAAATTTCATCACATGAAAATATAACTAAACAGACACAAAGGACTATAGAAGAAGAGTCAAAAATCAGTGAAGCCAGCAGAAACAAAAAAAACTGAAAAAAATGAGAATTAAACTAAATATAATCACATTAAATGAAATAAGTATTATATCTCTGGGAATAAAATTATGCTCAACATATCTCATAGTGAAATCATTTTGCTTTTGGTTGGGGTCAGTGGTGTGGTGCAGTGGGTAAAGCTGCTGCCTGCAACACTGGCATCCCATATGAACACTGGTGCAAGTCCCAGCTGTTCCACTTCTGATCAAGCTCCCTGCTAATGTGCCTAGGAAAGCAGTGGACAATGGCCCCCATGCTTGGGTTCTTGCCCCTATGTAGGAGACCTGGATAGAATTCCTGGCTACTTATTTTGGCCTGGTCAGCGGTTACTATCGAGGCCATTTAGGGAAGTGAACCACCAGATGGAAGATCTTTCTTTCTCTGTCATTTAGCCTTTCAAATAAATAAATCCTTTTTAAAAATCAGTTTGCTCCTGAGAGCCCAGCATGAACCCTGTGTTGAATACTCAGACTTGTTAGTTTTCATTCTTTTTCTGCTTAGCTTTGAATTCCCTCAGTGGAGTGCTCCTTCTTCTCTCCTGCTTTAGGTATGTGTTTATGTCCTTCACCCTTCCCAGTGGTGCACATTTTACAGTAATGTCAAGCTTCAAGAGTATGGACTTTTTCTTTTTTACATCTCCAATGTTATCACAATCCCCAAACAGTAAAAACTTGCTAACTTAAAATTGATCCCCCTCTTTAAACAAAAAATGTTTGCTGACTTCAACTGAATTCTTCCAGTGGATGACAGCTTCTGAGAGGTAGGGCCAGATGCCTGAGCCAGGGACTAAGGAAACCTGACCAGCCTAGCTGTATATAAATTGGGACACAGCAATCAGTTTTCATTTTGTGTGCTAATGATTGTCTCTGCATAGTATAAGAATCCTAGATACTAATGACTGATTCTATCAATAAATCCAAAATGCATTTTAGGTGGAACTTCATACCAGCTTAGAGAAAAAGCTGCCACTCTGGTTCCTACGCAAAGTGGATCAGGAATCCACCATTGTATATCCCAACAGACCCAGATATCAGGGGACATTATCAGTAAGTACAACTCACAAATAAAAACATAAAATGTTGTATTGCTTGACAGTCATTTGTTGGGTTGTATATTCCTCAGTTTGCCCTTTTATAGACTTTCAGTCTACTCTTCCAGTGGGAAATAGTTGTGCTTAAAAAATAGTAAAAGGCCATTACTGTGGCACTGTGGGTTAAGCTACTGCCTGCAGAGCCAGAATCCCATATGGGCACCGATTTTATTCCCGGTACACTTCCTATCAAGTTCCCTGCTAATGGCCTGGGAAAGCAGGGGAGGATGGTCCAACTGCTTGTGCCCTTGCACAAACCTGGAAGACCCAAATGAAGCTCCTGGCTCTTGGCTTTGGCCTAGCCCAGCCTTGACTGTTGCGGTTATCTGGGGAGTGAACCAGAGGATGGAAGATTTCTCTGTCTCTCTTCCTCTCCCTCTCCCTATCTCTGTGTATCTCTGTCTTTCAAATAAAAAAAGTGTTTAAAAGTACTACATATATTTGTGTGTGTGTATGTACATACAAGTATGTGTATCTAAGTGCATATATAGAACAGATAATGAAGGGCAAATATGCATATGAATGATTACTATATTCCCACTATTAAAAATATACAAAGTGACCAAAGACACAGCAAGCCATTGTGTTATAATGGAAAAGAGATCATACTAAGAGTCAGAGTTCTAAATATTAAACTTAATCATGCATGGGCTCCCACTCCCCATCTCTGACTGTTCTTCATGAGTTCTTAGCAGATCTGTTTTCCCTTGTGTACTCATAAAATGATAAATTTGACCTAATTATCAGTCTGAGCTTTATTCTAACTCCTCAATATCTTCCAGTTCCAGTTCACTCATATCCACAGTTGCAATTATTTACCTAAGCATAGAACGCTCAACAGTTGAATTCTCTAGCTTAGTGCTCACTGTTAAGTTCCAGGCTCCTGTCTATATGCAGGTACCTACTTGACATCTTCATTAGCTTGTCTCAAATTGCTTTAAATTTAGTATGTTCAAAACTGAACTTTACTCCTCCCATGTTTGTCTCCTTCCTTGCATCCCCCACAAGAAGAGAGTGAAAAATCCTCATCTTTCTTTGAACTTCCTCACTGCAATTCATGTCAACACCATTCATTTGCCTCTACAAGCCAGGCACGCAGGAGCCATCCTTGACATCCCTCCTCCCTGCTCCCATCCAATCCCTGTATTTGGTCCATTTGATTTCCTGGGTGCCTTTGCAAGTCATGATCTCTGGCCCTCACTACTAGAATTATCTCCTCCATCATTTCACATCTGCTCTTGGGTCTCCCCCAGTCCATTTAAAGCAAGTCCAATTAAAGCAAGATTTTATAAAAGTAACACTTCAGACATTTCCCCATGTGAAATTTGTTGATTGGTTCACTTGTGTTCTATAGTGATACAGAGCATATTTAGAGAAGTATCCTTGTATGGAATACCTCCTAGCATGGACGTTTTTCATGAGAATTTATAAAACATTCAGTTTAAGCCCTTCCCTAAACAATTCCCTACCCCTTTTTCTGCTTATGTATTGTTTGTACATTAAAAAATTATTTTATAAAATGTGTGACTTCATTTTATGGTTTTCACATGTCTATTTCCCATAGCAGACTGTGAGTTTCTTAAGAGCTATGGCTGGTGAATATTTGTGCTAGAGAATCTGTCTCAATGGCTGAATTCTGGCACATGCTCAAGAAATGGTTCCTGATTGAATTCCATTTAACTATTATGTTTTATCCCACAGCGTGTACTTCAATATATTTTTTACATCAATGAAACCAGACAAGAAGTGCCAAATACTGATACATGTTTAGAAATGGAAATACTGAAGCAGAAATACCGGTATATAGTTTTCCTTCTATCTATGTTTAAGAAATTTAAAATTGTTAAGTAATGATGCATGGTATAAGATTATACTCACAGTGTATATAGGTGTTTATTTTTTCATATATTAAGTCATGCTATATTGACAGATGTTGCTAGCATATTGATAATCATAAGATATATTTTAGACTTAACTATATCATTATTTAGTCTTTCCTAAGACTAAATAAATGAACATGAAAATGCTAATATGTTTCCTTTTGGGGTCATTATCATCAACTGTATTCTTCATGAACTGTCTGAATTCATAATACAAAACTCTGAAAGATTTTAAGATTCCTGGAAAAGCCATGCAGTGGACAGTGGTTAAACATGAGGACATTAAGTTACTTTACCTGAGTTTAAACTTCTTTTCAGCTCTTTACTAACCTTGTGACCCTGGAAAACTTGATTAACTTTTCTGTGCAATGGTTTCTTATCTGCACACTGGGAGCAAAAATAGACTGGTGGCTGGCGCCGCGGCTCACTAGGCTAATCCTCCACCTTGCAGCGCCAGCACACCGGGTTCTAGTCCCGGTCGGGGCGCCGGATTCTGTCCCGGTTGCCCATCTTCCAGGCCAGCTCTCTGCTATGGCCCAGGAGTGCAGTGGAGGATGGCCCAAGTGTTTGGGCCCTGCACCTGCATGGGAGACCAGGAGAAACACCTGGCTCCTGGCTTCGGATCAGCGCGGTGCGCAGGCCCCGCAGTGCGCCGGCCACGGCGGCCATTGGAGGGTGAACCAACGGCAAAGGAAGACCTTTCTCTCTGTCTCTCTCCCTCACTGTCCACTCTGCCTGTCAAAAAAAAAAATAGACTGGTAATAAATAAACAGTATAACTTGAGAAAATTACTTAAACTTCAAAAATATGTATTCCTTGGAAGGATTGAGGCTATAACCTGAATACAATTAATCTAATGCAGAAAACTTCTAGTATCTACAACTTCTGACACCCAGAAGAGCTAGAAGAAGAATTGAAAAATAAATCCCTAAAATGTGTCTATCTTTTTAGGCTGAAGGATCTCACTTCTCTCTTGGAAAAACAGCATGACCTGATTAAACTCATCATCCAGAAGATGGAGATCATCTCTGAGACAGAGGATGAAGATAACCATTGTTCTTTTCAAGACAAGTTTAAAAGAGAGCAACTGGAACAAATGAATAGTAAATGGAATTCTGTGTTGAGAGCAGTAAAGACCAAAATGCACAACACTTAGTGTTAGTTACCCAGACTTTCAATAGAACTTATAGGGGCATGGCTAACTAGATCTAATTTCCAATTTGGAAAGAGTGAAGTAGCAGCAGCAACCTAGTTGATGTTACTACATGGGAAATCATTGTTCCTGCAGTCTATGTAAATAGAAATTCTCTCTCTCTCTCTCTAAGGTAGATAAATTGATTGATTTATTTCCAATACATGGTGGTTTGCAGAACATATATATATAGATATATTTTTCTGCCAACCACCATGTATTAGAAAATTTTTGCTGCTATATTCCAGTTGGATTTTACATAAATAAAAGGCAATTTCATTACATGAATGCATAAAAATCTAATTTTCAAGAACACATATGCTTAATGATAAGGAGTAATATATGTAACTATTAAGATTGAATGAAGACAATTGACAATCCTGATTCTTGCTTAATAATTATATATGATGCCTTAGTCTCAAATATTTAATGCCTTATAGAGTAGTCTCAAGTCTTAGATTGAGAGCTCCCCGGTGGAAAGTCTTGTGTATTGGAACAACCTATGGATGACACACTATGTACTTTGGTCCCACTAATAAACAGCAACATACCATCCCTATCTGGCCCCAGCACACTTGATATAATGTTAAGTCATGAGTTGAAGTCCAACTAATAAACTTTATAGAATGCATGAATTTTATCCTAGAAAATATGTTATTTCTGTCTGTTTTTGCCAATGGTCATAACAAATATAAATTTTATATGTTCATTGCTCAGTGCTCGTTGTATAAGCCTTTTGTTGCATTTAGTTTTTTGAGATTTGCAAAAATGCCTCCATCATATACACCCTTTTTTCTTTTGATGTCTGGTGCAAAGTATGAATTAAATACATACTTCATCATTAATCTTATCAAGGTCCTTCTCTTGTTTTATTTTATTTCTTCCTTCAACCTGATTCTCACTTTGCACAGGAGAATTTCTGTAATGAATGTGTCTTTGGCTCTGTGGGTGCCCCTGTGTTGTATGTGAACAGTGTTGCTTGGAATGCTTGTAGCTACACAGATGTTATTTTATGGCTCCTTTCTGTTTCTTACTCCTTCCTACCGAACACTGGGGCTACAAGATACAACTGTGTTGCCATATGTCCACTTAATTTTTTTTTTTATTTATTTGAAAGGCAGTTGCAGAGAGAGAAAGATCTTCCATTCCTTCGCTTACTTCCCACATGGCCACAACAGCCAGGCTGGGTCAGGCTGAAACAAGAAACCTGGAACTCCTTCTTGGTCTCTTCTCCCTTGCAGAGGCTAACGTATTTGAACCATCTTCCGCTGCTTTCACTGGCACATTAGCAGGAAGATGGATCAGATGTAGAGTATCTGGTACTCAAACTGATGTTCCAATATGGGATGCTGGCCTTAAAGCCAACATCTTAATCCCTGTGTCACAACACCAGCCCCTGTATGTCCATACCGCACAGGGCCTCCAATAGCTGAGTTCATTGTGTGCACCTACCACATTGGACTTAGGTATTTTAGAGAGGAATTCTTCTTGCTATCTATGCCTCTGTCTTCCTGCTATCTCTCACATTCTCAAACATATTCACTCTCATAAAACTAGCAGAATGCTGAGTGACAGTATGTCATATTATGAAACCAAACATGTTACAATCCTGCTACAACAGAACACATGGCCTAGAAGCAATGTTGTCTGTGCCTTCATTATTAATATGGAGAAGATCTTTGTTCTTTGTTTTCCTTAAAACAGAAAGGCTGGAAATTCCCAGAAGAGCAACATTACCCAAGCATCTTTTGAGAATACAAACTAATGGTCATTTCAGTCTTTATACCTTTCACACTTAGTGTAGTCTTAAGCAATGTAGATCTCCAGTGAGCACTATGAGTTTCAAGAATGTGGGGCATAGTGTACCATGCTAATTGTGGGGAGTATTGAGATAAACAGGTTGTCTTACCTGTACTCAGGAAAAGTACAATTCGATGGGTTGTCATTCACTGTCTGAAGTTTTTTTCCTCCCTCTACCCTGAACACTGCCATCTCCTACTTCTCCACTTTTTTCCTTTCTGTTACTTTTGCCTTGCATGCCCTTGACCCTTTTCCCTCACACAGTCCCCTTTGCAATCTCACCCTCATCCTGACTTCATCACGTAGGTAGCTGATAAATTGACATAATCTCTTCTACTCCTCCCAAAATGCATTTCCATTCTTCTCCAAATTAAATATTATAAATCTAAATTTGGTGGGGGGGAGGGGCAGTCCACTCCTCCCAATTTCCTACTTTCTATCAATGACACCTTGTTCTCTCCAGCTCCTAAAGTTGAAACTAACATACCCTGTTAAGTTAATCTTCCTAAAATAAAACTGTGAGTCCTCATATCCATGCTTAAAGGTTTTAAAGCTTTCCCTTTTATTTATATGAAATCTAATTTTCTGGCTCTTTAATCTAACTTATCCTTAATATTCTTCTTGAAGGGTGCCAAGACTGCACATTAAGGAAAGGAGAGTTTCTTCAAAATATGGTACTGGGAAAACTAGATATCCACATGCAAAAGACTGAAGTTGGACCTTACCTTATATAAAAAAATTAACTCAAATGGATTTTTAAAGACTTTAACATAATACATAAAGGTGTAAATATCCTAGAAGAAAAAAACAGGGGTAAAGTTTTATGGCATTGGGTTTGGTATTCTGCATTTCATTCAAATCAGATCATTTTTCATCAAAACATTTTATAATTTTCCAAACCTTACCTCTAACTATACTCTCTTGCACCCTGAATGTTTTCTCTCTCTTTTTTGTTTTATTGTTTCTTTAAATTTGTATTTGCTTATTTATTTTATTTGAAAGGTAGTGAGACAGAGATAGAGAAAGAGAGATATTTTCCATCTGCTGGTTCACTCTTCAAATGCCCACAGTAGTTGGGGTTGGGCCAGATAAAAGCAAGGAGCTGGGAATCCAATCTGAATTTCCACATTGGTGGCAGAATTCCATGTACTAGAGCTGGCTCACAGCTGCACATGAGCAAGAAGCTGGAACTGGGAGTGAAACTCAGATTCAAATCCTGGGAATCCTATATGAGATGTGGGCATCTGAAGTGGTCTCTTAACCTCTTTACCAAATGCTCACCCCTACAACATTTTTTTAAAAAATTATTTTTTAATTCATAAATTCTATTTTTACTTATTTATGGGTTACAGTAGTAATTCAATGCATGTATACTGTGTATAATCATCAAATCAGAATAATTAGCATTTCTATCTCCTCAAATAGTATAATTTCTGTGTTGGAAAACTGAGATCTTTTTCCTCTGGTTGTTTTGAAATACATCATAAATTATTACAGATGATAGTTCTGCTCTTGTGCTATAAAACATTAGAACTACTTCCTCTAACTTTGTTGGAATGGCCATTAATGACCCCATTACTATTCTCTCTCCATCCCTTCACCTCCAAGTCTCTAGTGACTTCTGATCTACTCTGTTTCTGTATGATCAACTTTTTCAGCTTCCACTAATTAGTGAGAACAAGTGGTGATATTTGTCTTTCTGTGCCTGCTTTTTTAAAATCTAATATAATGTCCTCCAATTCCATTCATGTTGCTGCAAATGACAGGATTTCATCACTTTTTTACAGATGAAAAATAGTTCACCTCATGTATATAAAAATTATAAAACACTGGTAAAAGAAATAATGGAGGACACCCACAAAAGGAAATACATCTCATGCTTATTCCTAAAATATCTATATAACTCAAACCAATCTACAGATTCAATGCAACCCCCTCAAAATATCAATGACATTCTTCTCTTAAAGCTCAGCTTAGTTGGCATCTCCACTTTGAAGTCTTCTCTAATGCTCTAATTCTCTTTGCCTCTTCTGAACTGGCACACATAGTTGTATGTATCATCTGGTACTTCTGCCTGTTGTGGTCATTGTGACTTACCACCTCCTTCCCCTCGGAGGGTCATGTTCACGGTTATCATCAGTCCCAAGTGATACAAAGAATTACAGCCTGTCTCCTTTCTTTGTCCTGTTTAGTTCTTGGCATATTGTGATACAACAATAGATGCTCAATGAATAGCCATACATAAATCAAACAGCAAAATTCAGTGAAAATAGTAAGCATGACAGGCTTTAATGAGACTGCAAGAAAACTGGTACAATTTGCTATAGAGAAGTAATTTTGTGTCTTCATTTTGTGTCCTATAGAAGTTGAATGATCTTACTCTCAGTGACGGAAGTGTCACTACAACACCACTCTGTATTTTCTTCCACTGCTTCAATCTGGGTGGTAGTTGTTTTTTATGATTTTAACTATGATTACTATGGACAACAGATTTTGTGCTTTGCAATAAAACAACTTTTCCCTTAATACTGACTCTAATTCCTATTGGTTAAATGATTCTGATGTTTCTTCATCCCTAGAATGGTGATTACACATTCATACCTTCAGGTGTTAGACAATATCATGCACACTCAATACCCAACTCAATAAATGCTTTGAAATAAGAAAGAAAACTGATTTGCTTAATATAAAAGAGATTATAAAGAACTGAAATTTTTATATGCTACCAATTACTTACATAATTTTCTTGGAAGTTAATTGTCAACCTGATAGAAGCTTAAGCCCCCAAATACTTCTGGATCTCACTAGCCAAATACTGAAATGTATATAGTACAATACAAATACTCATATTTAGAGAAAATCCTGATTAAAATTTTTGTCAGTAATTTTCAAAGCTTTATCATTTTTGAAACAATTTTTAAAATGTATTTATGAAAGAGAGACAGCTGGCTGGCTCAATAGGCTAATTCTCTGCCTGCGGCGCCTGCACCCCGGGTTCTAGTCCCGGTCGGGCGCCAGATTCTGTCCCGGTTGCTCCTCTTCCAGGCCAGCTCTCTGCTGTGGCCCGGGTGTGCAGTGGAGGATGGCCCAAGTGCTTGGGCCCTGCACCTGCATGGGAAACCAGGAGAAGCACCTGGCTCCTGCCATCGGATCAGCGCAGTGCGCTGGCCGCAGTGCTCTGGCTGCAGTGGCCATTGGGGGGTGAACCAACGGAAAAAGGAAGACCTTTCTCTCTGTCTCTCTCTCTCACTGTGCACTCTGCCTGTCAAAAAAACAAAACAAAACAAAACAAAACAAAACAACACACATTAACAGGTTCTATGTCCAGAAATTGGGACCTGAGCCAGGGTTTGAACATAGGCACTGCAATATGCAATGTGAGTGTCCTAATTGATGTCCTAACAATTAGACCAAATGACTGCTTTGATTTTTGCCTCAGACTCAAATAATTACACATTGATGGAGCATTATGTCTCTCTTAGAATAAATCATCATTGTTGACTATTTGTAACCATTTTTGATATTTTGACATGGGAAGATTAAATAATAGTGATAATAACATGAGAAAGACTAAGAAAGCTTACTATGTATCAGGCACTGCTCCAAACCCTTAACTCATTTGGTTCAAAACCTGTATGTGGCAGGTGCTTTGATTATTCTCATTATATTTGTTTATTTTTATTGTTTAGTTATTATTCTCATTCTTGTTTTAGGAAAGAAACCCTGAAACTTCCAGGTTGAGCACCTTGTTTAGAACCACACTGCTTAAATGTGAACTAAGGCAGTCTGCTTCTGGGTCTTGTGCTCTTTTCTCAAATTGTGATGTTCCTCAAATAAAAATCAGATATAATGAAAGTAAGGGTTCAGGCTGCCTGAATCATAGAGAGTCTAACCAGTTTCCAGGTGTGTGACCTTAAACAAGATACTTAAAACTGTTAAATGGGAACAATAAGAGTACATACCTCATAAAGTTTTGTGAAAGATTAAATGAGTTAGTATGGGTAAAATATTTAGAACAGTGACTCTGCACTAAGCACTCAATAAAAACTA